CATATATATATATATTTATATATATAAATATATATATATAGATATAAATATATATACATATGTATGTAAATATATATATACTACCGCTAGGAAAAAGTAGGTCTGGTCAATGCGCTGCTCACGTGCATCCCAGTACGTTTTCTGTTGAAGCCCACGCTTGGGTCCAGATCTTAATCAAAGTAAATTGGCTTAATAGAAGTGAATTGGTATAGTAAAAGTGAATTAGCCTAAAAAGTGTATTGACCGTGACAACTCTTCCGCATCGGTGACTAACACCCCATTTCACGCATGGACACAAAGGTCAACCCAGCTGCACTCATCCTAACTACCTCTGGCAGCAGTGGTGGTACAGCACTCACAAGTTACACATCTCACTATATACGTTCAATTTATTCCAGTAATGCCTTGAGCTCCAGGATGAGCTCCTCCTGAATCGCCGGCGTGAGCAGCTCTTGTGGTCTGTACTTCAGTGATACATCAAATAGAATCGACACGCTGGTGTTGTAGATGGCCGACATCTGCCTGTCAAGCGCTGCGATGCAGTTGCGCACGCGAGCGATGTTAGACCGCATTTCGTCTGTGATGTTCTCTAATGAACTGTCGGCCAATGGTTGCCCGGCCACGGCGTCGTGCTGAGGTGGACTGTGTATTGGGAACGGAACAGTGTACGCAGGAGTACGTGAATTTGTGGTTAATAGTACAACGGTACACACGTGTCGCCAGGGATATACACGCGTGGTGGCATCGCCGGACATGCACCGATGACTCATTAACACGTGTGCATGTGACAGGGATGACCAATCCCGAACAGATACGAACAGACGGCAGGAACACGAGGATGCAAACAGATGGGGATGTGCAGAGAGAGAGGACACGTGCACACACGTGTACTATACTCATGAATGAACGGCCCACACGCACGCGACTATGTTGTGTACAGGTGGCACGAGACGCACGTAGTGAGTACAGTTGGAGAGGGACTATGGCCGAGTCTTTGTGCTTGCAAGGATGTATGTTGGGTTTTGTACTTGCAAGGATGTATGTTGGGTGTGCGCGCATGGGGGTTTGCCGATTGTTGGTTGTACGACCGATGGTGTGATGATCAGATTCTGTGCACACACACACGGACACATGGGTGTCTATGCGGTGCACGAGATCAAAACCGAGTGCTAAAAGAGGTATACGCTTACGCATGCATGTGACGTTGTTTGTCAAGCGATCAGCAATGGAAATCACTTCAGTACGTGATATCATACTATATATTGCCTACAACTATACAGTTAATCCTATCACTCTTTATATACACCTGCTGAGGATAAGCTTCAGACCCATACCAACAACAACGACTTTAGCAATTAAAGCGAGTGGGCAATCTATGACCTTAATATATAAATATATATATTATAATATATACCTTAATATA